TTCTGGAAAAAAAAAGTGTATGTGTGTAAATTGTATATTATGCAGAGAGAGAGTGAGAAAGACAGACAGAGAGAGAGAGGGAGTGAAAGCGAGAGCGCACAAATATGGCAAAATGCTAACAGCTGGAAACTCTTCACTGTAATATTCTTGTGACTTTTCTGTAGGTAAAAAATACAGGCTGTAGATATAAGAGAAAAAGGCATGATATTAGTCTACATATTAATGATTAAAAATAAAAACCTTGAAATATGAAGCACGTGAAATTAAATAAAAAAAATTTTGATTTGAAATTAAATCAAACAGATCTCAGAGCACCAGAATCTATTTACAGCCCAGAAATATTTACAGGTCAGGTCCCGGATGGGCAGCATCAGGAGCAGGGGTTCCGGTGTCCTCAGCATCCGTGCACAGAGGTCTGCAAGGGCAGGCATGTCTGTGTTTTGTCTGTTGCTGTATCCCGACTGCCTGGTTGTTCATTACAAATGACTATAGAGTAAACCTGTAAACAACCAAACTGCCCAGCTCTAGGGGATAACTATGCAAAATACATCATTTTCACCTGGAATATTTTGTGGTCAACATTTGTTGAATGAATAAATGTAGGTTTTCGCCTGCTCTCTATAACCCCTTTATTCATACCTGTTTCTCTCCAGCACTCTCTCCAGACTTAGAAAGGAGTCCACCCAGGCCTGGGAAGAGGCTTCTCCCTGCCCAAGCTGGACTGCCCAGTCTGGGGCTCTCCTGGAGCCCACAGGGGTCAGGCCCCCAGACCAGAGGCTCTGGGTAACCAGACTAGTTTCATTTCTATAAATGAGGTAGGAGCAAGGCTATGAAGAAAGAATAAGGCCTGGCAGCCAAAAATGCATACAGTTGTTTTAAAAAGTCATCTAAAAATAAGTTGATGGCATCTTAAACTGACACTCCACCCTAACAAAGGGCCTGGCGCTACGGTCAGAGGCTGCCGAAAAGGGCAAGCGTCCTTTCTGGGTAGACCCACTATTCCTTTTGGTCTTTTCCTTTGCAATTAGATTGGCCAACACTAGGCTTCTCCTGGATAAAGGTTGTAGGTGGCCCTGGAGAATCTGAAATCCAACCACTTCATTTTTTGGAAGAAGAAACCTGGGGTGAAGAGGGAGGCTCAACCACTTTCCTTTCAAAAAATCCCCAAAAGATAAATAATAAAGAGATAAGTGCTTTTCAATCTGAACATTTTATTTTGAATTTTAAAATACATACATCTTACGCTGCAGTTATTCAAGATGAAGCTTAAGAAAGTAACTCCCTGCCTCCTTTAGCCCGGACTTACGCTGGGTACCCGGTCCTGTGGCCGCCGGGGGTGACGGGCCGGCGCAGGGGCTCACTGCTGCCCCACTGCCCACCGGCCGTCCCCCTCCGCCTCGCCTTCCCGGTGTTGGTCATGATCTGGGGAAAGCAAAGAGGAAACAGGGCTGGAGAAATCATCTAGCTGAGAGCTGACCTAGAAGTTCTAACCGACTATATTTAATAAATTAATCAGAGGCTTTGTGAATAAGTGAGGGAGGATCATGACATGGATTATTCAGATAAACAGGATGTCTTGGGGGAATCCTTTTAGGTTTGCATATTATACGATTTAGCAGTATAAATTTTTTAAAAAAGCAAAATCAAACCATGGAAAAGGGAGAAGAATAGAGAAACTTATCACATCTCTGGAGAGGACTGACTTTTGAAAGTAAGAAGGGAAAAAGATGGATTTAGTTTCATAAAAAACTAACATTTCCACAAATATAGTATATTAAAGACAAGCCAAATTAACATGTAAATAATAAACTGGGAAGAAATATTTGCAGCAAATGTAACAGATTAAAGGTTAAAAATTTCAGTAGATAAGGAATTCTTACATATCAACGGATAAAACACTAAATAGATATCTGGGCAAAGAATTCAAAAAGCCAAGGCACAAAACAGAAAATATCACCAGCAAAGAGAAGAAAAAAATGATCAACTTTACAAGTAACTAGAATCTACAACTTTACAAAAAAGGTATTCTTCAATTATTAAATGAGTGACAGTTAAAGACATGATCCCATCCACTGCTGGTACTAGTTTGAAATGTCAGTGACATGTAAGTTTGAGAAAGTAATTTAGCATTTTATATCAAGTCATAAAAATGTTCATATCCTTGGGTGTTAAACCCTAGTGAAAATCCTAAAATAAGGAAAATGATAAATAAAAAAGTTGTTTATTACAAAATTATTATATAGTAAACTGGCATAATGTAACTGTTTAGTAATAGGGGAATAATTAAGTAAAACATGGCATATTCATTTGAAATATTATATGGCTATTTACAATGATAAAGACTAGGTAATAGGTGGCGGGTATAGCTCAGTGGTACAGTGTGTGCTTAGAGTTCTGGGTTCAATCCCCAGTACCTCCATTAAATAAATGAGAAAGAAACATAATTATACCCCCTGCCAATGGTAAAAAAAAAAAAGACTAGGCTATGAAGGAAAGGTAGGTTTATTTAAAATTAATTTAAGTTCCGGTTCC